TATTATTGAAAAGATGAAAATTCTATTTTGTTCTATAGGTATCATACAGTGTCTTCTCCACCATTATTAACATTGTACACAAAACATCCTTGTCCACTTTGCGATATTTTAAAAAGTGAATTGCAACTGCGTTTTGCTGGTCGTTATCAGTTGCGAGAAATTGACATAACAGCTACAGAAAATGAACAATATTTGAAACTATACAAATATGAAATTCCAGTTCTTTTCTTAGAAGGTCAATTTCTTTGCAAACATCGTCTAGATTCAGAATTATTGGAAAGGAAATTACAAAGTATAAGTTGAAATTGAAAATAATAAAGACATAGTAAGGATATATCGATTGGAAAGTTCTCGTTCGTATACGCTTATCTGTATATATAAATTTATATATTTAACAATATGTCAATTAATTAAATATCATTCATATAAATCACACAGTATTATGATCATTATTGTCGAGATTTACATCATGTATATACCATATTATTATATTATAAAATGCAGAAAATATATGTATATAAATACCAAATGAATTTGTGACCAATAAATGTAAAATTAATTAACGATCATTGATGCATGGATATTTAAAGAAAAAAGTAATAATAAAATGATAGTGAGTTTGAAATCGTTCATGCATTTGACATTAGTAAGTATCGTCGCTCGGCAAATCTTGTATAGCTCGTGCGTCCGCTTTCGCCTGTATACCTGTTCTCTTCGAGTCGCCTACTCTTTTTCACCCTCTCTCTGTTGCCTCTTTCCTCTTGTTTCCCTTTCTCTCCGCCATTAGGTCTACATACTCTCTTTCCGATGGGTAAGCAGGCAAACACGCACACACTGACGTACCGAAGATCGGCAGTGAATTGGTGAATGCACGCATCGGACTCTCCTTCCCGACGTTCGTTCTTTCTCAGTGCGTGCCTTACGCGGATACCGTGAAGTATCTGCTTGTTTCGTGTCATCTACGTGGCGTATTGTAGTGAATATATTTTTTGAACTTCTGAAGCGCGAAACCAAGGAAAAGAGTTTAATAGATGTTCCTAAAAACCGCGAAAATTAAGGAATGTTGGATCTGCTACAAACCTGCTATTGAAATCACGCGAGTGCCCTGTTTGATTTTTCGAGTGACGACGTAACCAGCACCAAGAATAACGGAGCAAGCAAATGCAACACGGATCTTGAACTTATTGAAAAAGAATAGCATTATTGGCTAACAGGAGTGTTCGTGCAGACATCTTTTCAATGAACAAAAAATCGAAACGATTCTTATTGATTTTTAGTGTTTTAATCTATAAATGGTTTCAAGGATCGAAGACTGAATAATATCCGTTTAAAAAGCCGGACTATGAAACTATCGCGGGGATAATGTTACCGAACGTTTATCATTTCGAGATAAATCTGAGTAACCGAAAAAGTTTATCGGAAATATTATACTAA